ACATGCCTACAGTAACATCCTCTGTATTTCATAATATTGTAAAAAATAATGTAATATTCTAATAATTTAAATTTCTTTAATAGTTACTATCATCAATACTTCTTTAGATTCCCAATCAAGGATTATTCTCCATGTTCCTAGCAACATTACTGTTGGATAAGCACAGAGTTAAGATGTTGTTAACCAAAGCACAAAACAGGTTGGGAAGAACTAATTATCATAATTTCTTGAGAAGGAAGCTTACAGAGCAATAGCATCTACAAAGACCTTCTCTTGTTCCTTTTTTTAACATCTTTGTGCTGCCTGTAGCTGTCAATTGAGGAACAGGACAAATAGCATAACAGAAACAAAATAATAAAAAATATCCAACTGGAATAATATTTGTATTATAAAAGTTATTTTACCAATAAAAGATGATAAGGTGATTCAATAAAGTCCCTTGGTGAGACAGCAGTAAGTTTCAAGACTTACTAAAATCTGGGGTTTGATTCCCTGTAGTAGACACAGCAGATAGACCAGTGTGGCTTTGCTCTGAAATAAATAAACATGATCCAGAGAATAAAAGAAATATTTTCTGGAACATTTTTTTATAAAATCATTTTTACTGTGTCTGCTATTCTCCAGTTAACATTACAAACTATTTTTATTAAGTCAGTCTACAAATAAGCTTTACTGTTCATTAACTACTAACTTTTTTACCTAAAATCATATTACAAATTGCACTTCAAAACGTCTTTTGTAGAAAATTAACATCCATTTTTAACTGTAACTTTAGGACAAAATTGTTAAAAGTTATTACAAAGTTAACAAATGATATCTGAAAAATATATTTATAATAGACAACACTGAATAGAAGAAGAGATAAACCAAATGTAAGAAGAGACTGGCTTCTACCCAGTGAAGAAATGACAACACACAAGTAAAAGTTGACATTGAAAACAAAATAAGATGCATATCACATCCTTTGATATTTGAGTAGTTTTGTTCAGCTTCTTTCTTTCTTTGCTCTATTCCTCTGCTATTTTTTAAAATGGGTTTATATTTCTTCTTTTATTGCACTACTTCCTACCTAGTTTTTATGCCAGTTTATATTTCTTCTTTTATTGCACTAATTCCTACCTAGTTTTATGCCAGTTTATATTTCTTCTTTTATTGCATTACTTCCTACCTAGTTTTTATGACTGTTTATATTTCTTCTTTTATTGCACTACTTCCTACCTAGTTTTATGCCAGTTTATATTTCTTCTTTTATTCCACTACTTCCTACAGTTTTTATGCCAGTTTATATTTCTTCTTTTATTGCACTACTTTCTACCTAGTTTTATGCCAGTTTATATTTCTTCTTTTATTGCATTACTTCCTACCTAGTTTTTATGCCAGTTTAAATTTTTTTTTCTTCTATCCAACTTTTATTTGTTATTGCTTTAATTGTTCTATTCAATCATTTACAAGTTTATTCTCTTCCTTTGTGGTGTTGACTTAACCCCCCCCCCACTCCCCTTCTGTTATACTGTCTTGACCTTACTGTACTCCTCCTTTCTTCTATTAGAGAGAGACACTGGTGCAAATATAATTTATTGTTCAACACAATCTCCACTTGAGTTTATGTACTTGTGCCAGCATTGCTCTAAGGCCTTCTCTAATTACTTTTTTTATTGGTCCTCATTTCACGACTGGACTGTATGTATGAAATATCATCACTCAGAAATCATCGTCCTTTCAGAAAGTTTTAAGGCTAGGGAAAATAAAAAAGTCACTTGGAGTAAAGGGGTGATTGAGTAATTCAAAGCTAGCATCATGAATAGCGTTCAAAGCAAAACACAATTTGTAAGTTGGGGCACTGTTCTGATGGAAGAGCATGCCTTTTACGAGCAATTATCTTTTATTTTCTTTGATTTCTTAACACAAATTGTTGATTAAGGATGCACAGCAATCTCCCGTAATGGTTTGTCCCCTTTTCAGGTAACTAGTAAAACGCCGTTGACATTCTTAAAAATTAATGCCATAACCTTCCCAGCAGAGGGTTCTGACTTGAACTTATTTGGTGTGGGCGAGATTTGGTGTTTCCATTGCAAATTTTGCATTTATGTCTCTAGGTTGAAGTGATGAACCCACGTTTCATCCATAGTTATGAATCTATTGAAAATTTTGGAGCAGATGTTGGCTTTCAACAACACGGATCCGTTTCTGCTCAGGTGACGACATTTTTGGAACTCGTATGGCACTAACCTTACTTGTGACAAACTGTCACTCAAAATGCTTGCTACAGTACTTTTACCGATTCCCACTTTCTCTGTTAACTTGTTAATAGTAATTCTTTTATCACATATAACCAAATTATGAACTTTATCTACAATTTCTGTTGTGGTCGATGTTGAAAGCCGACCGGACCTCGGATGATCTTCATAACGCGCTTAAACGTGTCTACTGCTGTCTACTCAGCACACCATGTTTTAGTGTTCAATGTGCCGGAATATCATCTATTGAAGCCGGAGCATCCTCTCTTAATATTGTTTCCATGTCCTGGTGGATTTTTTGCCATTTTATTTTTAACAAAATATTTAATCACGACACGAAATTCGATCTTCTCTATGATGTTTTACACTTCTCACTTCTTTCCTTCAAAAATCCAAAACACACAAAATATGCTCAAGTTATACGTTAACTGTTGTTTACCCATAAAAAAAGAGGTTCAAACTTAATATTTATTAGAAAAAATCATACATTACAGTTTTTGTTGTTAGGTCGGACCACGAACATTTCGGACAATCCTCGTATTTTGATTTTACTCTTTCTAGGTTTGAGAATGTTAATGGACTGCAAGTTATCATTGAGAGAAAAGGAGACGACATTTCGGCTTATATAATGAGACCATTTTCTTCTGAAGACTTTAATATAGAAGCCAGAATGGCATCTCCGTTTTTCAACAGGCAGCTACAATTAATTAAAGTACTCAAGCCTTCTATGTCTACTTTGCTCTTTCTAACTTCGTTTTCATCTGTGTTGACTGTAACATACTCCTTAGGTATCCGAGAACAAGGAATTAAATTCCCATTTTTTCAATCATACAAGGGCACATCCACTTTTTCTACGCTCCGAATGATCTTTTTAAGCTATGATATTGATCTCCAACCCTAATTCATTTTACATTTCACTTCTTTTTCTTAAAAATCTTACTTTACTTTTGTAGACTAACTTGTAATTTCTAACAAAATCTTTGAGACATTTACATATAATGTAAGTAATTGCCAAACAAGAAACGAAATAAATTATTTAAAAAATGCATATCTCACAACCCACGAGTCTCAGTTACGCTACACTTTTGGTACTGTCACATAAGATTACCCCATGAGTCACATTGGTTCCCATTGTCTCACATGGCAGGGAGACATCTCTGCCTGTCAGAACTAATCCACCAGCAGTACGTTCAGCTTCTTTACACTGTTTACCATTGGTATTGACTAGAGCTGGGGCTACTACGCTCAGATGGCCTCAGAGTTGAAAGAGACCCCCACTTGGTCTCAAACTCTCCATTCTAACAAAACTCATTTGTATACATTTCTCTTCCACCTAGATCGATGTTTGCTTGAGTGGTCACCAGACACAAGCAGATTTTCCTGAGTCAGTAGTTGCAGGTTGACTTTTGTCATGGACCTTCACAGCATTGACGAAAGTCCTATGTCCAAGAGAGGACTTCACCTAGATTTGGAACTTCCCGTACAAATACTTTTCTCTGCTAGTAAACTTTTCCTCTCAGTCCTGAGTACATTTACGTCCCCAAAGTGTCATTCTTTCAGTGTTATCTTGTGAATTATCATCATTACTGTGGTGAACAGCTAGCGTAGTCTGTACCCTTTCTAAGTGGCAGTAAATCACCGCTTGAGAAACCCTGATATAAACATTATTTGATATATTGTCCTATGAACCCCTAAGGTCTCTCTCCTCCCCCCGCATTGCGGTATCTGCTGCACCGTAGTTACGCCACTGATTATAGATAATGTATTCATTCAACTAAGTTCAGATCTAATAGGGGCGAAGTATGGCGAGATGCTGCAAATGCAAAACTTGTATAATGCAGACTAACGTTAAACTGCGTTGGATTTAATACAGAAAGCGTAATGAACATGCCACTTTATACCACGGATGTCCTGGAGATATAGATGTTATAAATTATATTTTTAATGTTGCAATTGGTTGTAATGATGATGTGATGATCGACAGATTTTGAGAAATATCTAGAACAAGGATTATTTATAAATACGAGAATCGGCGAAGTGTGAATGAGTGAAGCATCGAGTAGTTTAATGAAAGTCAGTTTAATTAAATAAAGTATTTAGTTTTAGTACTTGGATCATTGATATTGATCGCGTATATTCAGTTATTCGATCATTAGGCATGAAACTATACAAGAACGTTTATTGCTACATTAGTCTTAGTGCAGTTGGTAAAGTATTTCCATTTTAACATAATTTGTAAACTTAGGTCTACACCTGTGTTGTATAGAAGTGAAAGTAGCCTATAGGAAACGTCAAGGAAGAAAAACCTTATTTTTTTATCGTTACATGGACTAGACTTCGAATTATTTTCACTAAATAATTTAAAAGAACCTGCCAAATATTAGAATAATGTTAAAACACAGGATTTTATCCATGGTTCTGCGACAAGATTGTTTTTAACATATAATGGGAAGCTGAATGGGAAAAGATGGGTTTGTGAAAGGAATCCTCTTGTTCCAGGAAGGGGGTCAGGGGTGGACCCGACTGCCAAGGCATTTAGATTCCCTAGAAGATAATAGGGGAAAAAAAGAGATTCGTTTAAGTTTTATAAATGTTAATTATTTATGATTTATAGAAAACCATATTAATTATGGAATACAATACACTGATTACCCATGTATCCTCTAGGCCCACAAAGTAAAATCTACAAACGTCTCTCTCTCAGGCGGCACTCCTCATCATATTCACTGAACTACTATGGGGCCTATTGTCCGATAAATAAAATACTTTGATATCTTCATTAATTCCATAATTTTTTAGGCATGTGGAGTTTTAACAAATCCAATCAGAAATGCTCTCACTTATTAGTTGAATTTGTTATTAAAGAAGTTACTACAAAATTATCTTTTATTTTCAAATACATTTTCTTCCAAAATAGAACCCGCCATTGACTCAGCAGTAACGATGACATATACTGCTAAAAATGAGATTTCAATCCCGCCGTAGGCAGAGCACAGATAGCCTATTGTGTATCTCTGCGCTTAACAACAAACTTACAAAAAAAAAGAAGAAGAGAGAGCGAGAAAGTTATAACATTCTGGACTTTCACTTTACTTAAGTCGTCCCCTGACGGGACAGCGGTAAGTCTACGGACTTACAACAATAAAATTCTGGATTCGATTATCCTCAGTGCACACAGCAGATAACCCAATGTGGCTTTGTTCTAAATTCTAAAACGAACAAACTCTGCTTCATGTCAGGATTAATATTAAAATAAAGGAAATATAACACCAGAGGTCACGCTAGGTTACAATTCTATGAGTACCGTGAAGTATAGTTTTTAGTTAGTGGAAGAGGTGTGTGATGTACGTATTTTCGTAATCAATAATTCTCTGAAATTTCAATATATTTAATACAATTGTAATAACGAATCTCGTTTTGTAAATTTATAGTGTAGAATTGAAACAATTAGATACCACTCCCTCTACCTCTTCATCATCTGTTTCTTCCTCTTCCACAAGTTCCAGATCTTCTTCACTACTACTACTACTAGTTTCAGAATAATTATCACCATCGCTTAAAAGTTTTGATTTTGCTTGTCTAGTCACTACAGATTTAGGCCTACTTTTATTTTGAGAAGTAGCCATTAGGAATATATTACAAGTACTACTATATATATATATATAAAGAAGAAGATCCTGATAAGTCTTTTTCAGTTGCTGGACATGTATTTGAAGCATTGTGTGATTTTACAGGTGAGGAAGAAGGTGACCTTAGCTTTAAATCAGGTGACTTGCTAACTGTGCTTAGTGTTCGAGATGATGGATGGTGGGAAGCAGAAAATTCAGAAGGTTGTAAAGGCCTTATTCCATCTACCTACATGAAAATGTGTAATCAAAATACTGAACCAAATACAAGTGATAGTAACATGCCACAGAAAAGATCAGTTCAGTTATGGCATGGAATACAGAAAGCACTTAAGGAGCCCAGTGCATCAGATGTTATTTCAGCTCTTGGTGCTTTACCATCAGGGTTTCGAACTTCTTATTTCTCTAAATTACTGGAAGAAAATGATAATTATTCTACTTCTTCATACTTAGTTCCAAAACTGAGCAACTCAGGCTTGTCATTTCATGATACATTCTGGGATCCTATCAAAGAAACTGTAAAGCCCCATCATGTAAAAATTGAACGTTTGATAACTATTGTTGCATGCAGAAAGATACCACTGCCTGGTTTAGGAACAGAAGTTTTAAGCCAGCATGTATATATGTGTCTTCATGATGGAGTTAATATTCTGAGTAACATTCATACAGTTAGAACAAAACTGGATCCTAAAAATCCAGAACAGTGGTCTTTTAGCTCTAAACTCTCACAAGGTGCATCTGGTGAAGAAGAAAGCCAATGTTTTATAAGAACATCAAATACTTCACCAACAGTTGGAATTATTTTCCAACCCTGTTTAAAATATAAGAGGGTTAGCACTGGAGAGGAAGAAGAAGTTAGTTGTGGCTGGGTGTTTGTTCACCTTTTAGATGACTCTGGAAGACCTGTTGCCAATGTGACAAAAGTACTTCATATCCATGGTGGTAATCCATTTGAAAAAGATGTATCTGTGAACCCCAGTCATCAGAAAAACTTGGGAAGTTCACTTAAAGCTTTAATATTGAAAACACAAGAACCAAGGCTAGTTATAAGACTTTCTGAACCACGGGGAGAACTGAGTGAACAGCTGAGTTTTCTTCCAGATACTTTAATTGGACCTAAAGGAGACATATCACTGTTGACTATATACAGGCACTGCCTTGCAGAAACTATTACAGAGACTCGATTAGGAGCCAACTGTGCTGACTTTTTACATTCACCTTTGTTAAGTACATTTCCTCAGTTGCTGAAACATAGAAATATTTTTGATTTATTTAAAAATAAGTGGATTGATGTTCTTAAAAATCAGAAACGAAATATTAGAAAGGACATGAAAAAACAGTCAGTACTGTTCACCAATGTCTTTCTTGAAACAGCATACATAATTTTACATTGTGATTCCATGATGTCAGACAGCAAATCAAGCACTTCACAAGTGGAAGAAGTAAACTGGAAGAATATGAATCAACTGGACTTACTGTATCAGGAAAGGGGTCCACTTGGAATTGCTTTGTCATCTTGTGTAGATCATAGTCCATTTGAGATAGATGAACTGACACTGGATATTGTTAGGAAAGACTGCTTTCCATGTGAAGAATGTAAATGAGAAGGAAGCTGCTACAAACATAATAATTTTTGTTAAGCTAAGTTAAATACACACATACACATGTTGTGAAAGTAGATATTATTCATATAATAGTATAATTAATTGTAGATATTCTGATGGAGTCTGTTTGGACTCCTATAAGATTTTTTAAACACATTTTTCTAAACTATTCATTGGCACAGCAATAATTCTTTTGGTTTTCACTTAACTCTTAAAAACTGGGTTTTGATACCCTTGGTGGGCACAGCACAGATAGCCAGTTGTGTAGCTTTGTGTTAAAATACAAACCAACTAAATTATTTCTCCATCAAATTGCTTGTGAATCCATGATTTTGCTAAACCTTAATCACACATGTATCACATTAAAAAATTTTAAATGAAAATACCAACAATACTACAATTAATCCTACTAATTACTGTTGGGGTTTTCTATTATTTTACATATTTGGCTTGTGACAGTCAAAAACATAAAATTACATAGTATTTAGACTCCACTAGTAATGAATGATGTGTAAACAAGTTGTTCAATTGAGAATTAATGAATGCAAAGTGAAGTTTGCAACTGTTTATTATTTTATTGTCACTGAATATTTTAGAATAAAGTGTTTGTTATGATATATGTGTTTTTGTATAGTTTTAGTCATGTATCTGGTACCATTAATATTCGAAATTTCTTTACCAGTAAAAACAAATATTTTCCCCTATATACACTTTTTCTTTTAAAAATAAACTGAACAGTTAGGTTTTTAAGATTTTTTTTTTTATAGAAAACACACCTCTAAACTTTAATTCTCAGTAATTAGAATTATATTAAATATATGTTAACTGTTGTTACCAGTGGTTAAAAATACATTAAATATATATTAACTATTGTTACCATGGTTAAAAATACATTAAATATAGGTTTACTATTGTTATCAGTGGTTAAAAATACATTAAATATAGGTTTACTATTGTTATGATGCCAACAAGCACACATTTGTCTGTGGTTTTACAGTGTCACTCCTATTGGGAAACAATATCCCAGTTTCTTATTCTGGTATGTGTTATGATGCCAACAAGCACACATTTGTCTGTGGTTTTACAGTGTCACTCCTATTAGGGTAAACAATATCCCTAGTTTCTTATTCTTGGTATGTGTTATGATGCCAACAAGCACACATTTGTCTGTAGGTTTACAGTGTCACCTAC